CTTAGAAGCTGAGTCGACCCCAGGGTCATAGTGCGGCTGGAAGGACTACGTCGACTGAAAAATCCAATGACTTCATGGGGAATCGAACCTGTGATCTTCCGGTTTGTAGCATAGTACCTCAACCAACTACGCGATTGCGCGGCCCGCAGTTTCTATATAAAAAGTACAAAGTGAATGCATAGTGGAGAGAACATGTCCGCCCGCCCGAAAGTTCCGCTTCCACAGTTACTTCAGAATTTTGACGATTTTACTTATTTGGGGAGGCTACATTTCCGTCAAAATACATTAAATAATATTCCAGAAGACTGTGGGCCTACTCTGTATATTCATCCCTCGAGAATCTAGAATCTAAGATCAATAAATAAAATGTGGCCGACTTAAAACTTTTCTTCATACCAAGTCCAAGTCAAAGTCCAAGTCACATTGCGACTGACGGTCCGTCAGTCAGTAAGTCTTGGTGTCGAGCCCCATATAGGCTCATGACCAGATATTTATTAGTGTTTGACATTTACGGTCTTGTTTTTGTGGAGCGCCCTCTCTGACGAGAGGACGGATCTGCCTTTTGTATATGCCGCTGGCCCTTGCCAGTGCAGTCTTTCTCGGGTCTGAGTCCCTTGGGACTCGAGACCATATTTTACTCTCTCATATTTGAGACTTCCCTTTTCGTCGCCTCTTACGACTCGCAGCGTCAAGGTGGAGGTATTCGACCCCGCCTCCACACGGGCAGTTCTTCATACCGTTGGTCTAAAACATTCTTATATGTGCGGCGTACACAGAACAGGAAACCTTATGGAAGAAAAATCCTGTATGTTCAACGGGAGTTCGCGAAGGCAATTTCGGTGTATGCTGAAAATAGAATCTAGTAAATTTCTGACGGCGACGTAAAGATCTGGAAGACAGCCTGACGATGACATAGTCTCAAAAATATTTTAGACATATTACATTAAGTTTCTTTTTAAAGTCGAGTGGGGGGGCTCTTTCCCTGACCAGTCATACAATGACGAGAAATAACGTCAGAATCGCCACAGATTATAAGCTCTAGAAGTGACCCACAAAACAAAGTTACGTTCGCAATTAATTATTAACAAATTATCTGGAAGAACTTTGTGGGTTTCTGATCAATACCAGTTGCTTATGTAACGTCAAAAGGGAGCTTCTGTGTTCTGGTTTCTACAGCCGAGCTAAAAGGCAGCCATACAGAAACAGTTATTTCTATAATTCGGACAGTCATGGTCTGAAGCTGCGCAGATAATTATGTGCACAAAGATTGGTTCCAAAAGACTTTACCTCTCGGTTTCCACATACATGCATGGGGTTAGAGATATGGCAGTTTCTTATCACTTAGGTTATCTGTCCTTTTACTAAAATGCCTGTGTTTGTATGTTTCCTTTTCACGTATCTAATAACAAGTGCATCAACAAGTTGGTTCAAATCTTTCCTAACAGAAAACAAAAGATTGAAATAAAATTATCATATTCTACCCAAAGTACATTCTCAAAATTCCTTCCCCTCGGCACTACAGCCTACAGCTCAGGGTGAGGTTTGACCTCCTCAACTATCTGCCTCCATTCTTCTCTATTCTTCATCTTTCCTCCCCATCCTTTCACTTTCATTTTACGGAGATCATCATATACATCCTCCAGCCATCTAAGCTCCTTCGTTGATGTCGATTTCCATTCAATCCATCCATCTGAGGCTGATTTCTGGTTTCTGAACAATTTAGTTTTTAGGGTGTGAGGTTGTTAGCCTCATGCCCAACCTCCAACCTGGATGACCAGGATATCCCTGTTTGTCTGCCTCCTACTCCTTTACCTGTCAAGCATGGGTGACCCTACCAGTAGCTATGCTACTGCTGCATAGCTCTCAGAGTCTGAGGAGCATTCAAACTCCACCACCATGATAAGGTGGAGACACCATCGGTGGGGACACACTCAAACTAGGGAACCATAAAGGGGTCAATTTTATGGCATTTGCTTTTGTAATCTATATAAATGATCTCCCTCCTACATTAAACACCTCAGCAATACCCATAATATTTGCTGAAGACATAAGTGTCATAATTTCTAGTAAAAATTTATATGACTTCTGCATACTGTCAAATAAAGATCTTTTTCAAAATAGCAAATGGTTTCCTGCAGACAAGCTGTTCCTCAATCTAAATAAAATAAATGTAATAAAATTTACAACAAAAAACTCACCACAATAGCCATTATATATAGGACATAATGATAAATATATAGAAGAGGTAGCAGATACAAAATTCCTTGGCTTACAAATTAATAATCATTTAAACTGGAAAACCCATTTCAATCAGTTTGTTCCAAAGCTACGTTAAGCATCTTATGCAGTTAGATCTATGTATGTTGCATATCAGCTACACTGACACTCTCAGATCAATCTGTTTTACTTACTTTCTCTCTTTAATGAAGTATGAAATAATTTTCTGGGGTAATTCATCTATAGTAAAAAGGTACCCTGAGATGTGCATGTTCTTCCTCAGTCTCTCCAGAGAAATGCTGTGATATTGCTTCAAATAAGGCCATGACCCCTTCCATCCATGTTCTTTCCAGCTCAGTATTCATCCCACCATTCAACACTACAAAGTCTTATCTGCTGACAGGGTCATTAAGTAAACCAAGAATAATATAAAAAATATGTATAATTATCCTTTGAAATTAGGCATGTGAAACATGACATGGAGGGAAGTCCTTATCATACCAGCAATGAATAGATCTGTAAGACCACTTTTAATGTTCAAAAGTCACAAATTTGACAATGGTGTGATAATGTGAAGTCAGCCTGACAATAACCTGACAGGGGGTACTTATACTAACTAAACCAGCTTCACAGAGCATAGTCCCCCAAAAGCAACAGAAATTCAACTTGCCAAGCAATTCCTGGCCTTTTATGCATGGAAGGAAAGACCAGTACCATGTTCATAAGAGTCTGCCAATGGACTTCACCAAAGGCCAGATGAATCCAATAAACATACTCACCCTATACAAAATCTGCTTTAATATTATCTTCTCTTCCATGCATAGGTCTCCTATGTTGTCTCTCTCCCTTCAAGTTTTCCAACTAAAATGTTATTATGCATTTCTCACCTAACCCCAGAAATGCTACATTTCTTTCCCATCTCATCATCTTTGGTTTTATCATCCTAATAATGCCCTGCATTGCCTAAATGCATCACAGACTATAAACCAAGAGGGAGAAGGGGTGTGGAAAGACCTAGAGAGAGGTGTAAAGCTGGAACAGGCCTGAAGGCCTTTGCTTTCAGGTTGATGATGATGTTCATTGAAGGTTCTTACTGTGAAATTTTGTATGTCTTCTTATACTTGTGAAAAACGTCCATAGAAATAAGTTACAAATTGTATAATAATCAGAACTGCACAAATTTCTGTTAATGTGGAAGCTTCCTCCAAAAATTTGGAACTGTAATAAAAACATAAAATACCTCAGGTGAGAAATTTGCTCATTTGTATTAACAGAACAACAGAAACATCAACTCAAATAATAGCCGCCTAGTTTGGCAAAGAGGAAAATTCCAATTTAACTCTGCTAGGATGTGCAGAGAATGATGACAAGATGGTCCAATGTGAGAGGGGAGGGAATGAGATAAAGATATGAAAAGGAAAGAAGAAGAAGAAAGAAATGTCTTTGCTCTTCATCTTTGAGCGATCATGCAGCAGAAGTAATATAATAGGAAGAAAACTGTAGGCATCATGGTGATCTAGCATCTGAGATTTATCCAGGTGTGCTAATTATTAAACTATAATTTCTGCTAGCCACTGAGGACATATTTATGGGTGCACATGAAGGGTCTATGTTGAAACACTGCACTTACTTGTTGCACACTGCTTACAAGGTACTTAGAATGAGTCTGTAAATCTAGGGCACAATCAAGGACGTGCATGGTGCAGTAGTCAACGACGACGAAGAAACTTTCCAGAAGAGAACGGCAGACCCTGTACCAAATCAAATCTTCCTCAGCAAGGACCAGAATGGACTGAATCCTCTTCACAAGGTAAAAATAACAAAAACTCATAGAATTCTCCTTTCAGACATAACACGAACCACATGAATATGTGCTGTTCCTTTCAAGCCCAGGGAACCAAGGCTACACAACTAATAATACAAATAGGATAGTATAGACCACACAGCAAAGCATACCACATAAACTAAACAATACAACAACAGTAACAATCAACATCCTGGTAATAAGAAAGAAGATAAATTTGTTCTCAAGAAAGAGTTAACACAAATGAATCTACCCAGTAAGAGAAGAATCAGACAAAAAGATGTATGGTCTACTGCAGCAATAGAAACTAAGCTGAATACATCACATGACACTCTTAAAGTAATTTTAAAAGTTAGTAAAATTAGTTTTTAATTTTTAACTTTTAGTTCATATATCTCTTGTATTTAAATTATAAATACGAGTATGAATACAAGCTTTACAATTTAATAATGAAAATGTGTAAATCATCACACCTGAGAATTATCCTATAAGGGTCAAAACATGTAGTGGAACATAAGCTAATAAATTATAGTTGTGTTGATGGTGGAATCTGTATTATTAGTTATATTCATGCAACAGGATGCAGACATTAAAAACACAATGCTACATAAATGTTTGCCAGGAACCATCCAAAGCCACTGTTTGGTCACATTAGTATTTATTTTCTTTCACAACTTCTTGCACACTTCTTTGAATTTTATCTTATACACAGAAACAAATTTCACTGACATGTCTGTCAAACTTTACTGGAAGTTTGGAAAGTTCCTAATTTTATACGTCCCACCAGCAACAAGAAATATGTCTATTGCATGTAGGGCATATACTCCTCTGATACTCATGCTGTGCAGCTTACAAGGGTCTTTAATGGAATCTAACTGTAATGAACTTGAATTAAAATACACTCCCCCACGCCACATCTGATAATAAATAATGTATTACCTCCTTTACATCACATCTGTATAATTTATTTATGGGACTATTTTCAATCAGCAGGGGAGTTTGTACTTCTTAACTCATTTCGCCACATGACTTATAACAGCCATCAGCTACTCCATCTAGTATAACTATTCTTAATTTCTCCCAGGATAGTTCTGTCTGTATAGCAATAGGCAAGGGCTGGACGAGCGGGGTTCAACTCCCAGTATGGGCAAGAGATTTTTCTCTTCTCCACAACCTCTAGACTGGCTCTGGGGCCCATCCAGCCTCCTATTAAATGGGAAAGAGGAACTATTTCTCCGCGGGTAAAGTGGCCAGTGCATGAAGCTGACCACTCACACCCATTTGGTATCATGGCCAAGAATTGTGGAGATATACCAACATTCTCCACATATCTTCATCTTGCTTAATTAGTTAAGCACAGGAATAATTTTACCTTTACATTGCATGTTATTCCAGTTTTTTAAAGTCATCGTTTTTCTTATTTCTAGTGGGGTGGAACTAAGTCCCTTGTACTGTGGCCACTTCTGGCCTATTGTACCAGCCCCAGATGATATGTGAGGGTGATTGTGGAGCAATTGGTGGAATGATGATTGGCAGGGGAAACCGAAGTACTCGGAGAAAACCTCAACAGCGCCACTTTGTCCACAACAAATCCCACTTGATAAAACCCGGGATCAAACACAGGCCGCCGCAGTGGGAAGCCAGCGACTAACCCCTTGAGCTAAGACATCGTTCATAAATAATCACTTAAACAATACTTGAGTCGAAAGGACAGAGTACTTTGTAAGCAATTTAAACTCTGCATTCACAGGTCAGCCACCTAACAAATATTACCAAGAAAGCGAGGGACACCACTACATGAAATATTCCTACCACCAATGGCACTCCTTCCTTAGGGCGCCAACTTTAAAAATCACAGTTATGTCTCAGCTAAATGAAATGTCTGAAACAGAAACTTCCATGCCCATTATTGCTGTTACAACACAATATTTAAAACATACATAAAACTGTTCATTTCACAGCAGTGATTATGAAGAATGCCGTTGTCTGGGATGTGGCACCATGTAGGTCTTCTGTGAACCGACGTTTTGAAGGAACGTATCATCTCCATCTTCAGGGTAGAAAAATCCGTGAGCGAGGAACCAGCATGAGCAGATGGCTGCAGATCTACACAGAGCCACATCCCAGAGGACGGCATTTGTGGTAATATAAAATGGACTGGCTAACAGCCCCATGTTCACCCACCACAGGCAGCAGGGTTGGGCCGTGAAGGGATGGTTGAGAGCATCATACAGCGCAACCCGCATGCTGTTGCCACTACAGACAATGAAGGAAGAATGCCACTGCATTATGCAGCTGCTGCTAAAGATGGAGGTCACATCTACAATCTGCTAGTTGAGGCTGGAGCTGATGAGAATGCTCTAGACAGTGTGAGTACCTCATCTGTACTTAAGAGATGTTACATAAATACATTTATATAAGCTGCAACCATTATCTGACATCAAATGGAATGAAACAATGATTATGTATTGTAAAGCAGTGGGAATAAGCAGTTCTAATTATGGTATTTGTCTGGATTGACTGAGGGAGGCCACGAAAATTTGTGGATATAATCCTAGAAAGTTAGTGAACATAATTAAATAAAGCCAAATGTATTTCTTGTGGTTCTGTTATTATTTCCTAAAAGATTTTTTAATCATTTTTGAAGCTTCGCTATTAACAGATTTCAGAAAATAAAATATTAAGATGAATTTATTCACAATCTTATGGAAACAAATATCAATCCCATAATTGTTCTTAATCAGATGGCTACTAAATTACTAATTCGTGTTGACAGATCATATACTGAGAATAACACACCAATTGCAATTTTGGTATTTTGTACGAATCTTATAATTTTAAGTTAATTTTTTAATGTTTTGAAATATATGGACAACAGTTCATGGTCTTGAAATAATATGAAGATTACTGACAATCCCCAGTGACAGTAACCTGTGTTCTGGCAAGTACATTCTGAATAAAAGACAAGTATTTTAGTTTCTTAGCCAGCTGGAAAATTGCAACAGATGTCTACTTAGAATGGATGTATCTGCTGAGATAGTCCAGTCAGTAAACTGGCTGCTCATAGGCCCTTGTGTTCGTATAACAGGAAGAAAACCATAATTGACTTACATAAAGAATCTCGGTGCAAATAGTAGAATACTTATATCTGAAACTTTTCCATGTCCTTATTACTTATAATTTTACTACATATTATTCAGAAGGTCCATATAGGAAATTCAAATGATTCAAATAGATCCAAACAGTGACTGCAATTAACCACATGTGTTTCTAGTGGGCAAAACTGAATAGGAAGCTGTTTCCTTGAAACAAAACAATCATAGACATTCTATTAAAAATATATGGTAGCATATACAGCAGATCATGTGTTTATTAGGATCAATTCATGTGATCTTGTTGCCACCAGAGAGGAAAGCCACCAAGTTACTATCGAACCAAGCCTGGAGAACTGGACCTAAAAAATCTGCAGGTGATCCCAGATGCCCCTCGAACTGCTACCATCTTCCCACCTGCTTGGGACTGGAGGCTACTCAACAACATGACCTATGACTTCGGCCCAATACCTATTGACAGCGACTTGAGATACAATGGGGAAAAGTCTCCTGAAAGGGTGAAGGTTGTATTGTGAATATTTAATTATATTCTAGATACTTTTACTGTATTATTCTCTAGAGCAAAGTGGATGATATGGTTGAGGGAAGTGGAAGGGGGACCCTCAGGAAGAAAGAGAGGTGTTGTCTCAAACAAGCCCATTTCAGAGCTCCTCTGATTTTCAAATTAGTTTATAAAAAGTGAGAGAAATTGTTACTCATGTTTGATTTATACCTATGCCATTCTTTGCAATTTTGAGTACCTCATTGAACATGATGTTCACTTACTGTTGATTTGCTTCATGGGGGGTGGAGTCCAACTGGGTCCACTCGACACGGTGGCCACTGATTGGCCTATTGGAGCCTGCCCCAGGTGATTATGATGACGGAGAATTTGATGGAATGAAGATTGGCAGGGGATACCGAAGTGATCTGAGAAAACCCGCCCCAGCGTCACTTTGTCCACCACAAATCCCACTTGACCAGACCCGGGATCAAACCCAGGCCACCATGGTGGGAAGCCAGTGACTACCACTTGAGCTATGGCATGGCCTATTAATTGTTGATACAGATGTACTATTGATAGCTGTTGAACAGCACTGCAGAGATATGTCAGATATTTCTTCTTTCATTTTGTCATCTGTAAGTCATATTGAAAACATAATTAAATGAAAATTATTAGCTATTAATAATTTGATAATATGATGAGCCATTTATGAGAGCAATTTAAATTAAGCTTAATATAAAGTACATAATAATGTTGCCTGTTCTTTAATATGAATGTGAAACTTGGTCTCTGACTCTGAGAGATGTACGCTGATCACAGCATTCTCAAAAAGTGTGTTTGTATCTAAGACACAGGAAGTAACTGAAAGCTTGAAGAAATTGTGTCAGGAGGAGATTCATCTGTATTGCTGTAATGATTAAATTATGAATAAGGTATGCAGGACATGTGGAATGCATGAGGAAATGAAAAATGCATGCAAAATTTTGGTCTGAAAACTTGAAGGGATGAAAATACCTTAGAATTTCCAAGTATATTCTGGAGAATGTTATTAATGTAATATAATATTAATATTAATTCTAAGAGAAAGATGTTGCAAAGTTGGAAACTGAACTGAATAGACTTAAAATAAGAACCTGTAGCATGTTATTTATTATTGTGATAAAAATTAGGTTTCCTACCATCAGGCAGTAGCCACTAAAACAAGTCACTGTACTATGGAGGTATTCAGTTTCAGAAATCATAATATTAAGACCACTATCTCTTGAAATATGATGTCATGTATTCGTCTAGAAAAGTATTAATGTTTTGGATGAATTAGCTGCCTCCATTTACCTTGAAGATGGAAGTAGCAGGTACCTCCAAAACATTGATACCTTTCTCCCATACTACTCAGCACCAAACCCTGACCAACAATTATCTTCATATGCAGCACCATGAGAACTTCAACTCTTGCACATATAAAGCTAATTGGATACAATATTTTGGTTCCATGTAGAAACAAAAGAGCATGTCCAACATGGCTAGAACAGCAGCAGAAGCAGCAGCAGCTGTGGTAAGTCTCCAAAACGTTGATAACTCTCTACAAATCTAAATGGTGTCACATCCAAGAAGATTGTAATCTTGATATTCACTGGCATGAGAACCAAAAACCTTGCACGTGTTTAAGTTCTTGTTCCATACATGTAAACAGACACAAATGCTGCTGATGATACATGATGTGGTCTGCTATTAACAGATATTTTGTGATTCACTTTGTATATGTATATTTTACAACTTCTTTATTACAAGAAGTTGTATATTATAACACAACAGGATGCATGAAATGAAAATTATATATGTATACTTCTTTCACAATCCAAAGCAGATGAATATTTCTGTGCTTGTTGACAGAAAATACCAGTATCAGTGGCTGCAGAAGTTCCAGATCTTAACAGCAGATCAGCAACCCCAACTGCAGGACATAAGGGGCCAGAGCCACCAGATGATGAGGATGAAGGCGTAGGAGAGGAGGGAGATCATGATGAGGAATACAGGAGGCAAACAGAAGAGGTAGACATGTGTTGTTCTTTAAAACACTAATAATATAACACCTACTGAGAATTCAATAGGAAGTCTCATCATTTACTAAATAAACTTTCAGAGTATTAAAGTCCCTGGACTTCTCCCTTATTCCTAGCTAGTTCTGAATATTATTGAATGAAGTGATGAGGCTAATATTTACCACTATCTCCCATGAATAATAGGCACAAATAATCAATCATGAACTGTCTCCTTTATATATATCACACTGCACTTCACATATTCATATCAAAATATTATCAGTAATCACAGAAAAGCTGGGAGTCAGGATAGCTCACTTGCTGTAGTTGTGGGTTATGGCCGGAAAGCTGGAGTTCGAATCCTGACAGGAGTAAAATTTTTCTCTTCTCCACAATGTTCAGACAAGCTCAGAGGACCACCCAGCCTTCTATCTAATGGGTATCAGTGCCAATTTCCTCTTGTGTAAAGTAGCTGGTGGGGCGGGGGTCAGTCTGACCACTCACCTAAATCTAATGCCGAGGTCAAGAGTGGTGGAGGTATACCTCCACTACCCCAATATTGTGATGGTATAGTGTTTAATTAATTAAGCATGGGGACAAATTTACTTTCTTTACTCATGGAATAGAAACAAAAGCCTGTTTGTTCATTTGTAATCTATTACAAATCATATGTTAATGTGTTAACATGTTAATGCTCAATAATTTGTTGCTATAGTAACCTGAAAGTGGGGACTGGTTAAGTGGGATTTGTGGTGGACAAAGTGGCGCTTGGGGCAGGTTTTCTCAGAGTACTTCAGTTTCCCCTGCCAATCTTCATTCCACCAAATTCTCCATCATCATAATCACCCAGGGCAGGCTACAATAGGCCAATCAGTGACTGCTGTGCCAAGTGGACCAAGTTGGACTCTACCACCACTAAGCGAATTTAAGAAAAAACCTGAAGGTGTATATGACATGATAATCATGCATTTATAGAACTCTTTAGGATATATGGAGTGAAATCAAAGGATAGGAATGATAAAATTTAATACAGTAAGGTCTTCAGAACCTTGTCCTGTGTCCTGTAATATTCCTTTTATAAGAGGCAATGTAATCTGTAATCTGCTGGGACCAAAGGTTGTTCCAGGAGTGGACAAAGAGAATATTTCCAAAGGCTTTTTGAATCTGATCATTTATTGGTGTCTCAATAGGAGAGAAACATTTCATGAAACCTGAAGTGTTTCTTTCAGGACAATTTCCCAGTTGAATAAAATCTCTATTGCTTGTTGTTTCAATAAATGTTTAAGGACATAAACCAAATTACAAATGAAACGTTGTGAATTTCAGGAGGGGGAGGAGGAGAATGCTAAGGGAACAGAAATGGAAGCTCTGCAGAAAGATAACAAAGGTGAAGGAGAAAATGAAGAAGTAAGAGGCGAAGAAATTGATAGATGGGAGAGACAAGATGATGAAATGGAGGCTACTGAAGAAGATGGGGAGGAAGATGCAGGAATGGGTGAGGAAGAAGAAGAAGAGATAGGCCAAGAAGTTCATGAAAGACGTGATGTAATCGATCATGATGTTAATGCAGCACCACCAGAGGAAGATGAGGAAGTGAAACGACTTATTGAAGCAGGAAATATGGAGCAGCTGGCAAATCTGGTGCTAAATGGAGAGGGACATCGTCTTATAGGACAGACATCTGATGATCCCGATCTTCAGGGATTCCTCAACAATGTTCCAGCATACATGGTAAGTTTCTGATCAATCATCTAAAGTTCAACAACTTCACTGTGTAATGCAGTAAAATTAATGATCCCATACTGTGCATTGCATGCTAAAATATGATGTATAAATGACACTTAGATTAACTGGTTAGATAGCGTCAGAATGCAGCGGATTTAAATGGAGCCGTAAACATATGATAATTCTCCCATGTATCATAAATACCATCTTTTTGTCTTTTGACTGCTGTTCCTGTTTTATAAGGGTCATTGGATAAAAGTCTCTAAACTTTTCCTTCCCACAATACTTCCATTTTCAGTTTCTTGCTGACTCATTACTCTTTTCCTGATGTGTTGCAGTACCTGGCTATACAATTTTATTCTGGATTATCATATTGTCTTAGTTACCCATATCTGATGCATTCTAATAACTTTCCCTAACCACTAAAATCATCATCTTCCTAGGATCCATATCAGGGGTTTTATGTAATTATCTCACTTCTTGGTTAGTTCTAATTTTCCAAACTCTTGTTCAGTTACTGGTCTGTAATTGGTTACAGTTATTCATCTTCCCTACATGACACAAGAATGATATTATTCAATTGTGTGGTCATTTATTAATTACTCACAATGTTATTATTATGCACTGGATGCTAAGTTCCTAGGTCATATAATAGATAAATCAGTATATCCAATCAAACCATTGCAAGAGGATGGTACAGTGTAGAAATGGTTCATAAACATTTCTTAATACTGCAATATAAAATTTACTCAAGAATGTTATTTTATAGGGGAAGATTCGTGCAGTTCACGAAGCAGCTCAAGAGGGCCACTTGAGGGACCTACAAGCTGCCCTGGACAGACGTAAATTTGCAATTGCCCGTGATGGTTCAAATTCAATGGGATCTACACCTCTCCATGTGGCCATCCTGTTTGGTCATACAGCTATAATCCGGTACCTAGCTGGACGATTTACAGAGACTTTACAGGCTCGAGACAACAGTGATCGCACTCCTTTGCACTATGCAGCCACAATGGCAGACAATGGACACTATTACAACTTACTGCTCAAACTGGGTGCCGACCCTACACTCAAAGATAATGTAAGTTCTAACAATTGAATTCGGTTTATTGCTCTTTTCATAGACTGTGCAAATTGTTTCCTGTACCAGACTCAAAATAATATTTTCATTATAGTCTTCCTTTAGTCTCTGTTCTCTAGGTAGGCCACTTTATCCAATGGAGAAGTGGGCACCTGCTCAGGGACCTCACCACACAAAATTTTCATTCCACTTTGGAACAATAAACTTATTTTTCTTCTTAATTTTTATTTACAGAATTAAAAAAATCAATGGCTATTTCTGCTTCTACTTTTGGTTCACACACCTGGGCTTCAGACACATAAAGGACAAATAAAGTGTTTGGGTGTGGGGTGACTGGTATATTCAGCATTTCATATTTCAGATTTCAATGTATAAAATGTTAAGTTTGAATTCTTGTGTTCGGTTTTTACTCAGGTCTGTCTGGTAGAGTTAGGATGGTGTGTCTTTTCAGTCTCTGTGTAGTTTAGCTATTGTCTAGTAGGTTCACTTCTAGTGAATTAGTGNTAGTGAGAGTGAGAGAAGAAGACAGATAAGTGTACGCACTGCAAGACGGATTAAATAAATCATGAATTTGTGTTTCTTTAATTTTCTTGAGCATTTTGTATTCCACAGTTTTATTTCACTGAACACTTTGCTCTTTTGTAAGATCTACATGGATCCTTATGCAAAAATTAAAGTGAATATGTGAAAATAGGTTTTCCTGACTTTGCATTGGTTTTCTGTGAAAGTTTTCTCAAATAACTGGCAGATTCATGTAGCTGGCATACTACATTTCCCATGCATGCTGAATAATCTGGAAATTGCTGCATTTCTTTTCAATACCTAAATTAAATTCCATTTACTCTGCAGCTAGATAACACTGCAGAGTACTACATGAAGAACCCTGGCATTCTCACTCATCAAGATCTGCTGGAGGAGTATGGTGTATCAGGAGAGGTCGCTAATAACATGCTTGAAGACAAAGGTAAGATATTTCAGTGCTTTTCACTTCACTGCTGGCTGTTACTTAGGTTGCATATGAACCCTTTCATTGTTCACAAGACAATGTCAGCCCATAGTGGACTTTCTTCACCTGGGTCCTCAGCACTTCATACGATTTCTGCAAGGATCTCCCACACCCACCCACCCCACCAGCGCCCATGTGAGCGCACGTAATTGTTCTTCAAAACTTTCGATGGACAGTGCCAGTAACAGGCACTTACAAGCACAGTGACGAACATTCTGATACTGTAAAAGGTGGGGGGGATTTCATCACTAGCAAAGTGACTATCAGCATTTCAAAAATAGCTCTACTATATGAAGCTATATGGAAATGTATATTACAGTCACATATAATACAATGCTCTAGACCTGTATTTCAGGTGGAGGGGGCTCTCTGTTCGAATCTCCACTGGGACATAGCTATCTTGACTGGTTTTAACAGCCCTCAGACAAATAATGCCTCAATTAGACCATGACTTCCCCCTCTTAAATCGTTTCTAGTTCATCAAATATCCTACCATTCAATACTATTTAACCTCAATACTGTGACGGTGTCATAAAATAATCCCCCAAAAGAACATCCGCACAAGAACAGTATTGTCAGTTACATATAAGTTACATTCATGATAGATTCTCATGGTTCAGGGAACCTCAACATCTCACAACCTTATGGGCCTCCATGGCCTGTTACAGGGATACTTTCACTTTATTTCTTTTTTACATTGAATATTATAACTTGGGAACAGGTTAGTAAGGTGACTAATAACTAGACATCCTCAGAGTCACTACATTATTCTTTACGTTTGCAGATGTCAATGTAAAAGAAAAATAGGATATAACTCACCAAAATACGTGATTTTCAATTTCAGATTTTATTTTGAATATAGTTGTAATTAGTTACTTAAATATGGCACTAGTGTAACACAGTGAACCTAAGGATGAGTACAGAATTTTCTGTCTTCTGGGTTGCAATGTTGTGTAGTCTGGTAGATATTTGCCAACTTCTGGAGGAGCCTGCTGCTTCCATCTTCAGGGCAGAAAAGTAAAGTTCTGATGACAGTGAATGTGACTATTACTGCCATCTGAGATGAAATGCCACGATGTCTGGTAGATATCTATCAATGTCTCAGAGGAACCTGTTACCTCTATCATTAGGGTAAAAGAGCAGAGTTGTGATTCAGAGAATCTAGCTTGCTGCATCTTCTACCTGAAGCTGGAGAAAGCAGTTTTTACTAAAACACTAATAAACTGCTACAAGATTATGCAGCATCACATCCCAGGCAATAGTAATCTTCACAATCACTAATATGAGTGCCTCAAATCTCATAGTGGATGATAAGTTACTATTGTTGCCAACACTCACCTACCATACTCACTTTGACAATGAAAACATGAAGATGGAGGCAGCATATGCCTCCAGAATGTTGTCAGCACTACCCAAATCAACCCAGTGCAAAGATTCAAGAGCAGAATCAACTTCAACAGTAAACCACATGAATTCATAGCATCAGTAACTAATTATCACCATTATGTGTGAAGGCAATATGCGTTTCTACATATTTAAAAGAACCGGAGGCTAGAGTAAGAATACATGTAGAGCCATGCCATAGCTCAAGCGGTTAGTCGCTGGCTTCCCACTGCGGCGGCCCGGGTTCGATCCCCGGTCTGGTCAAGTGGAATTTATGGTGGACAAAGTGGTGCTGGGGCAGGTTTTCTCTGAGTACTTCGGTTCCCCTGCCAGTCTTCATTCCACCAATTGCTCCACAATCACCCTCACCTATCATCTGGGTCTGGTACAATAGGCAAGAATTGGCCGCAGTACAAGGGACTTAGTCCCACCCCACTAGGAAAAAAGTAAAGCTATCCCTGTAACAGGCCGTGAAGGCCCATAGGGTTGTGAGATGTTGAGGGTCCTACATTATCTAGACAATCAGCTCAAAGATGGCGGTAAGGTTGTCAGCCTTACGTGCTGGCCGCACTTTACTCCCCAGGAAAATTATTTATTTAATTCCTGGTACTCATTTCTGTTAGAGACTGAGTGAACCCCAGGGCCATAGTGCGGCCAGAAGGATCAGGTCAATTGGAAAAAATCCAACGACCTCATCGGGACTTGAACCCGTGACCTTCCAACTTGTAGCATAGTGCCACCCCACTAGCAATAAAAAAAAAGAATACATGGAGTTGGTTAATATATGTAATTTGTATTAGGACAAGGCCAGGCTATCTTTACTGAGGATTTCGTAGTTTTACTCATTCTATACATTAACATTTTTGAATAGTACTCCAAATTATGTGACACCTGTTTCTTTCCAAACCCCTGCTTAATCATTCGTCATAATTGTCTTGTCACCTCAACTTCTGTGGTGGATTACCATCATCATCAACATCAATTTTATCATTAATCCTGTTATTGCTGTTATTGTTTTTATTGTTATTTTTGAAAGTGTAATAAACCAAGGAAGACACATATAAACACATATTACTGCATGCTGTACACCAGATGCCCATTTTATTAAAGAAGGTACATATGCTCGAAAATGTTCCCACAATGTGAAGCACCATAACGAGACCCCAGTTTTTCCATTGTCCCCATGTTACAAGTGGAGATGTGTTTTTACAAATGTTTTTGTCCACATTTATAACAAAAACAAATTTTGTAATCAGCAATAACTATAGTAGGTACACAAAAATATACTTATTAGGAATTCCTAACAACTTAAACTTTATTTTATGATGATGGGAAAATCACAACCCTTATATCAAAAATGGAATGCTTGACCTGGGTAGTAGGAGATTAAATTATATTTGTTAAAAATGGAAGGAGTAATGTCCAAAAAAACTGATACTTATAAAAAGATAACTTTTTGTCTGAATTTAAAATCTTTCACACAGTGCTGTTTTATAATAACGATATTTGCAACAGAATCAATAAAAGAGCAAATGCTGAACTGTTCTCAGTATTTTTGCTCCACATGTTTCGGTCCTATTAGATAATTATGTGATGGTAGTTATACTAATGGCCAAAGGTTAATTATTCAAGTTTTAATAGGCGAAATTAATACAGACGTTTCTGTAGGATGCAATGCCATAGCTACATAATTTTTTAAGGAGTTCATACTGTGCTGTTCTGCATTGTGACACTGTGTATTCTTGTACATTTTGACCAAGCTGGTTGTGTGGCAGATACAATCTAGACTCATATTAAGAAAGTGTTTGTTTCAAATCTCAGCTGTGGCACTCACTATCCTGACTAGAGTGTTGTGTGCTTTTCCTCAGTCCTTCCATGCAAATGCTGGGATAGTATGTCAATTAGGCCATGTCTGCTACCTTACAAATCCTTCCCAGCTTATCAGAGTCATCCTTCCATCTGAGGCATCATACAGTCTAGATTCTGACAGCATCATAAAACAACCCATTGAACAAAGAGAACCCAGTCAAACCAACATTTTGAAGAAAATAATTCCTCCCTTTGTAGGGCACTCCAAAACGTTTGTATTTATGAAACAGATGCATGGTATCACAATACAGAACATCACAGTATGACTGCAGTATGGAGTGAGAAGTATGAATGTATGCCTCTTAGATGAATGAACCTATTGAAATTGGTGATGTTAAAATTAGACTCAATTAGACTATTATATGAATGTGGTTGAGAAAGTTTGAGTGGTAAAATTCTAAATGTTTGCCATTATTTGCAATATTTGAATGCAGTTCCAAATGACACCGTCTCTGCAAGACGTGACATTGATGATCCAGAAATACTTGATACATTGGAACGGTGCTATGAACTTGTACGTGAAGAAACCTCGACCAATGGGCAGCTGATGTCAGGAACATTGCTACAGCGTTACCTGAAACGACCAGTGTTTGAAAAGTTGAAGATGCGGCTAACAAGAATGGACCACAATCTCTTGGATGTAATCTGGCCAGGGGCCAAGGAAATCCCTGAAGACAATGATGCTGACCTAGATGAAGAACTAGAGGAAGTAATTCAAAGAAATGGAGGCGTGACTGCTCCAGATTATGAGTCTTACACCGTATTTAGTGACCTGCTTGTACCATTAATCAAAGATTTGCATGGTTTGCTTGTAAACTATGATCTTAACCCACAACCTAAGTCGCTATTTTTCTTGGAGGAAGAAGAAGAGGATGAGAATGAAGATCAAGAAATCAGAAAGAGAAAGGGACATATTGGTGAAATTATTATTGATCCGTCTGGTAAACACATCAAGTCTGGAAGAATTGAGTGCTGCAGAAATGTGGCTGAGTATCAGTTACCTTCAGACTTGAGTTTTGCACAACTTGAGGCTTTAGAGAGGGATCTGGTGAGTTCTTTTGAAGACTGTGACAGAAGAGAAACTACAAACAATGATGAACAAGAGGAAGAAAAATCATATTACTCCATGGCTGAAGTGTTAGAGGAAAACTCTGAAATTAAAGATAAACTTAATGCTTCAAATTTGTTGGTGTTGTTGACTGATGCTCAAGAAAATGAAGAAAACCTTTTACATGGTCATCACTGGCCACATGGGAGGGGTGTGTTTCTCATGAAGGATGGAAACATGGCCATCTGGGTCAATGTACAGGAACACCTTCGTGTAGTGTCATCCACACCGAAAGGTAACCCAAGCAGTTTGGGCAAGGCATATGATCGCATTGCACACTTGATGATGGATCTGGAAACAATGTTTGAATTCAAGACAGACCCTCTACTTGGGTATTTAACCGCATGTCCATCTGCCTTGGGGAACACCCTTCACATTTATTTGACTGCACATCTGCCTAAGTTGGGACAGGAAGCAGATAAACTACATCGTTTATGCTCAGCGCGAGGACTGAACATAAAAAAGAAACCAAGAGGAGAAGATATGTTTAACATATGGAATCAACAAAGTTTAAGTATAACAGAGCATCAGACACTGAAAGATTTTGCAACAGCAGCTTCCAACATTATGCAGCTAGAGAGAAGCCATCCCAGGAAAT